GGGGTGATTCTGCCCCCAGGGGACACTGGGTGATGTATTTGTGGTTGTCACGACTGGAGGGGATGCTACGGGCATCAAGGGGTGGAGACCAGGGATGCTGCTCCCCACCCTGCAGGGCACAGGACACCCCCCACAGAGCAGGATCCACTCCAAATGTCACTAGTGTGGAGGCTGAAGCACTCTGCTTTGTATAGACCCTGTGATGATTTTATGCCCACTTTACAGGAGAGAAAACTGAGGTTCAGAGAGGTGAGTTACTTGCTCAAGGTCACACAGCAAAACAAGGTTGATACAGGGAGAAAGTGGGAAAAGGACTGATGCATTGTGGGGACTGCAATCAATGTCATGAAACAAAATGTGAATGAACTGCTCCATAGAAAATTAATTTGCTCTGCAAACTTTCGCCCAAATCACAATTTTTAAATGCACCCCCCCCCCAAGAAAAACAGGGTTGGGACTCTATGTGCTAAAGTGCCCAGAGCTCTGCGGGTCCACCCATTGTCCAGTAACATGCTGTGTGACTTTGAGCTACTCACTTCCCCTCTCAAAGCCTATTTCTTCATCTGAAACATGCTGCTAAAACTGCTGTCTGGATCCTTGGGGTGTGGGAAGATTGAAAGTGATCATGTCTGGAAGCTGCCTGACCCAGCGGCCAGAGACTGTCATTGCATCAGCAGCATTATAGTTGCCACCGCCACCATCACCAAACACATGGCTGAGGGACTTCAATCTCAGCTGAACTGTTACATGGCTGTGTGACGCTGGGCAAATGACTTCACCTCTCTGTGGCTCAATTCTCTCAAATGAGGATACTGAAAACACCAATTTTATGGAAACTGGGTGTGAGAATTAATAGTGAATCCAAAAAAATGAGCCATTGAAACCCCTACGGAGCACAGCTGAGTTGACTTGATGCCAGCAAACGGTTTTTAGATAAAGTTGTATTGGCACAAGCCACGCCCATTCATCAACGTGTTAATATCTTACTTAACATGTTGAGGTGGCTTTAAGTGCACGGCACATGGCCTGCCGTGCAGTCAGCGCTGGATAAATTCACGGTGGTTATAACTAGCAGTTGGAACAATAACCTGTGCGCCAGACTTGCTGAGTGGCTGCAGCTGAGCCCCGCCCTCCCCTGTGTCTCAGTGTCCCATCTGTAAAATGGGCTGATTCCTCAAGCTCCTTTAGGTGGGATATTCTTAGAGCCCCTCACCTCGCGGAGTTGAGCAGGGCCCTCTGGGCTGAGTGCAGGAGAGGGGGCACCCACCTTCTTGTCCTTCTCCTTGGCCTTGTCCAGGGCCTCCTGCGCGCGGCTCTGGGCCTGGCGTGCCCTCTCGGCCTCCGTACGCAGCCCCCGCAGCTGCTGCTCCGCGGTGGCCAACTGTGCCTCGGCCGCATGGCGCTCACTCTTCATGAACAGTGCCTCCCGCTGCACCTGCAAGTCAAGCCCACGTGTGACTCCGACTCTGAGGACACGTGGGCCCCGAGGATGTTCGGATCCTGAAGAGGTCTGCACCCTCAGGTCTGGACTCCAAAATGCTTGAACCCCATGGCCCTTCTGGTCTTTCGATTTTGGTTCAAGGCCCTTAAAGTCCCACTAGTTTGACCCAAAGACTCAATACTGACCTGAAGGGGTCTGACCCGTGAAAATTCTGGGTTTCCCTTGGTACTGCGAACGTCTGACCCTGCCCTGCACCTACAACCTGCCAGCTCCGTGGCCTTGGGAAAGTGACTTAATCGCTCTCTGCCTAAGTTTCCTCATCTGTAACATGGGAATACTAACCACCTCCCATTTCATAGCGCGGTTGCGAGATTAAAATGAGCAAAGGCGCGGACTGTGCTTAGAACAGTGCCTGGCGCGTAGTTAGCGCTGCATCGGGATTGGTGATATTATCATTGCTAATGACAATCTCCCTGCCGGTGGTGTGGTTTATAGATTTCTTACAAAATGGGAGAAGGGGCAACAACAAATCAATGTCAAAAAGTTGATGACTGCATTTTCACAAAAATATCAAGATTATTGCAATGTTAAAGTTTGCAGAATTTGATCCTGGGGAAAAACT